AACCAACATGTCATCGACATAAAGTAACAAATAAATATACGCACCTCCTCTCAACTTGCGAAAATACACGCAAGGTTCAAACTGGCTCCGAGTGTACGAATGATCAAGCATAAAAGCATCGAATCGCCTATACCACTGTCGAGGAGATTGCTTCAAACCGTACAGCGATTTCTTTAACCTGCAAACCAACTTATCTTTCCCTGTAGCTCGGAATCCCAATGGTTGAGTCATATATATTTCTTCATCAAGATCACCATGAAGAAATGCCGTCTTCACATCCAACTGATCTAACTCTAATCCATACCGTGCCACCAAAGCTAGCAGAATCCGAATCGAAGAATGCTTCACCACCGGAGAGAAAACCTCATTGTAATCAATACCTTCCTCCTGTGCATAGCCCTTCACAACCAACCTAGCCTTGAACCTCACTGGAGTGCCCTCATGCCCTCCTTCTTCGTGTACACCCACTTGCACCCAATCGCCTTCCGCCCGTTTGGAAGCTCAACAAGCTCCCATGTATCGTTCTTATGAAGGGACTTCATCTCCTCCTGCATAGCCACCTGCTACGAATCAGCCTCCAAACTCTGCTCGGTCTCTCTGAATGTAGTAGGCACCATCTCATCGATACTCTCCACCAGAAGTGCATATGCAACTGTGTCGGCGTAGTAGGCACCATCTCATCGATACTCTCCACCAGAAGTGCATATGCAACTGTGTCGGCATACCGTGCTAGCACCCGTATGTCTCTCCTCTGTCTCCGAACCGCAATAGAATCCTGAACCTGAGCCATCGGTCCCTGATCCTGCTCATGAGTACCCGTATCCTCCGCATCACCGTCGTGCTTGCCTGGCGTCACCTCAGTCGACACTCTAATGGATACTGCACCATCTGGACTCTGTGGAGTTGCATCAATCTCCACCACCTGCGATATCTCCTCTGTCGGGTCGCTCTCCACCTGATGAGAGCTGGGAAACTTCAAGATAGAAGTCTCATCGAATGTGACGTCCCTACTCAGCATAATATTCTTATCAACTGGATCCCAAAGCTTGTATCCCTTGACACCACGCTTGAATCCTACAAATATGGCATTCCTAGCTCGAGGTTCCAACTTATCAGTTTTAACATGATAATATGCAGGGCAACCAAATACCTTAAACTGGTCATAGTCATGTGCTGTCTCTCCCGACCACATCTCCATAGGGGCCTTCCCCTCAATCGCAGATGAATGCAGCCTATTAATGAGGTGGCTCGCATAAGAAAGTACCTCAGCCCAGAAGATCTTCTCCAAACCACTATGCGCCAATAAACATCGAATCTTCTCCAGCAAAGATCGATTTAACCTCTCCGCTGCCCTATTCTGCTGCAGTGTATGACTAACTGTGAAGTGCCTCTCTATGCCCTCGTCTCGACATAGCTGCTGAAAGGGGTCTGAAGTATACTCACCGCCGTTGTCGGATCGCGATTCAATCTCTCCGCCACCCCATTCTGTTGCGGTGTATGACTAACTGTGAAGTGCCTCTCTATGCCCTCGTCTCGACATAGCTGCAGAAAGGGGTCTGAAGTATACTCACCGCCGTTGTCGGATCGCAACGTCTTGATCTTTCTCCCAGTCTGCAGTTCTAATCTCTTCTTCCACTCCACAAACAAATCTAGGACTTCACTCTTATACTTGATGGTGTACACCCAACATCTCCTAGAATAGTCATTAACGAACGTGACGAACCAATGTCGACCACCAAGTGATGCCGTCTTGGTGGGACCCCAAATATCTGTGTGCACGTAGTCCAAGATGCCCCTCGTCCTATGAATGGCCGTCCCGAACTTTACCTTTGTCTTCTTGCCAAGTATACAGTGTTCACAGAATTCCACTTTACCACTCTTGATTCCCTTTAATAGCCCCTGCTTGCACAATGCCTGCAGTGACTTTTCACCTGTGTGCCCTAGCCTGTAATACCAAAGTCTGCTCATGTCCGCCTCTAAAATAACCGAAGCAACCTGGCCAATCTCGGTGCTCCCCTCCAGATAGTATAAATTATGACTGCGGACTCCCTTCATCACCACCAAAGATACCTTAGTAACCTTTGTTACAGTATCCTCAAAGGTCACCCTGAATCCCTTCGCCTCCAAAGCTCCAACTGAGATAAGATTCTTCTTTAGTTGAGGAACGAATCTTACCTCATTCAACTCACAGACTACTCCATCGTGCATCCGAATCCTCACAGTACCTATCCCACAAATACCACAGGATTGATCATTTTCCATGATAACAACACCCCCGTCGAGTCTCTCAAATGATGAAAACCAATCTCGCCTAGGAGTCACATGATAAGTAGCGCCAGAATCAATCATGCAATCCGATGCATCCAAATGGTTCACCTCCGGAGTAATCAAAAGAGAAAAACATGAATCATCGGAATCATCGCCTTTCGTAACGTTCACCTCATTGGCCTTTGCGCCCTTTTTCTTGCTATCCTCCTTCTCCTTGAGCTTCGGATAGTCTCTCTTCCAATGTCCATGTTCCTTATAGAATGCACATTGGTTCTTTGCTAATTGATGGCGGCTTCTTGACTTTGACCTTCCTCTATTACCACCTTTCAGATATGGGGTTCTACCTCTCGTCGACAAGGCCTCTCCTGAAGTACTAGCGCGAGAAGTCTCCTTATCCTTCCTCCTCAAATCGTAGTTCGTCAATGCGTTAGTCACTTCACTATAAGTGATAGAAGATCTCTCGTTCAGCAACGTAAGCACGAAGGTATCATACTCCTCATCCGGTAAGGAGCCCAAAAGAATAATAGCATTATACTTATCCGTGATCTTCTCATCCACGTTCGCCAAGTCCGACAATAACTTAGTGTAGTTGTTCACATGAGCCGCAAGCGAGGTGCCTCGGGATATCTGGAATCTGAATAACCTACGCAGTAAATGCAACCTGTTCTCAACACTCTTCGTAAGATACTTATTGTTGAGAATTTCCCACATCTTCATCGCATACGTTACCCCAATCATATTATATTTCAGCTCCTATTCCAAACAGGACCTGATCACCCCACAAGCGTTCCTATTCATCTTTTCCCATACCGACTCTTCATATTTAGGTGGCCTCACATCGACCATGATGGTCTCCTCCAAATTTTGAGCATTGAGCGCATCCTGTACGTCGCTCATCCACAAACCAAAATTGATTTTGCCGTCATATTTTACTACACTAATCTTAGTGTTCTGAAAATCCACTTGAACTGTGCCAATCATCTTGCTGCTTTCACCAACTTCTTCACCCATAATCACAAATTTCAAATTGCAAGGAAAGATTCAAACTTTGAAAGGAATAAGAAATTACCCAACTAAACCCTAGATTGGATTCCAAATAGAACTCTTTGAAAGGAATAAGAAATTACCCAACTAAACCCTAGATTGGATTCCAAATAGAACTCCTAACCACACAAGGAAAGCGAGATCTTCAACGGTAACTTCAAACCCTAACAACACCAAAGCCTAAAACTCCAAGAACCAAGCTTCCAACCGAATCTTCCTCCATCTAATCCAAAATCCTAGATCTGAAATCTGATCTCTGATACCACTTGTCGTGCGCCTATGCGGAAGCGTTGCACGCACACACAACGAACTTGAGATCACGGAAGAAGAAAGCCACACACTTGCACAAACCAAGCCAATTACGATAAATCAAACCAAACACAGAGATATACGTGGTTCGGCAATTGCCTACGTCCACGAGGAGAGGTTGGGTAGATTTCACTATATGGAGGAGAAATACAACGGGTTACAACTCACAAAATCACTTAAATATAACCCTAACCAAAGCTCTCAACTCCCTCACAATATCTCCCTCTCAAAGTGCTAAAAAACAATGCTAATTCTCTCCTTTTTTCTACTTTAGAAACCCTAAAAACGTGGTCCTATTTATAATAAAACACAATCCCAAACAAAGGAGGATTCCCAAACAAAGGAGGATTCTAAAAACGAGTCTGCCACACCCTGCACCATAGGTGTGGCAGAGGGTGTGGTGTAGGACAGATTCTGCCACACCCTGCACCGTGGGTGTGGCAGAAGGGTGTGGTGCAAGACAGATTCTATCACACCCATGGCAGACACCACACCAGGGTGTGGTGGAGTCTGTTTTGGGTTATTCTTCACGTTTTTCACAATTCCTTCGCCGTTTCGCACGTCTAATTAATTGTGAGACAAATACAATAGCCATTTATCCAATTAACCCTGATTTCTACATGAAACAGAACTAAAATGATATGTAAACAATAATTTGTCATAGAAAATTATGTAAGAATTAAAGTTATATATATGTTAATTATTTTCAAAACAGTTATATATGAAATATTGTTAAATTAGAGAGAGAAGGAGTGAAAGTCAAGGAAACTTCTAGAGAGAGTGAGCGATAGAGAACAGAGAAATAGAACCCACATTAATAAATGAGACCAAATTACTCTTATCTTTTACAAAAATGTCCCCTTTATTCTTCATAAAATTGAACGAATAATACTCTCACAAAGATTTTTATTGGCCCGGTAGTATAGATTACCCTTGTCTTTTACTAAAATGACCAGTTTATTTTTACTAATTGAAAGAATAATGACTCATTCTTTCACTTTTGCCTACCCTCACAAAGATTTTTATATAGTATTGATAATATGAGTGGACTTGCAAAAAGTGTGGACTCGTGATGAGTAAAACTTCAATAAGAAAAATAAAACATAGGTCTTGTTTTAACCCACATAGCCCCCTAAATCTACCTTATTTCATATTTCCCCCCAGATATGCATATTTGTCAATTTAACGATATGCTCTCTCATGTTGAGTTTAAATGGTTAGTATTTTTAAGTATGAACCCTAATTAAGAAATAAGTGCATCTCAATTTATTTTTTCGGGAAAAGGGCATATATATAAATCAAGAATGATAACATCTCGACCTCTAACCCAATCACAATAGCAACTTAAAAAAACTACTATAAACATCACTTGCACCCACTAGAAATCTAGCTATTACACTGCAACAAATTAATTGACTTAATTAAGAAGGACACAATGAGATTGCACTTGTTCATATACAGTCTACATTTGCACGAGCCAAACAAGTGCCAAGCTCAGAAGCCAAATCCACACACAATTAAAAAAAAAAACCATGTTAAGCATAAATTCCCACATGAAATCACACTATCAAAACATAATAATTTTTTACACTAAGGCCACATCAGAGTCATCAAGCAAACTACTGATCTCTTTCTTCTTCGTCTTTCTAATGTTGTTCTTCTCTTGTCTTCCTCCTCCAACACCACCATTATTTATACTCCTTATCCTTCCCTTGCCGAGATGATGCTCGCAGAGTGAGTAGCCAATGAGCGTCTGCTGACTGCATTGCCACCCTCTTCCGTTCACTCGACTGCATCTAGAACCTTCCATAAGAACTGCTGGTGACCTTCTCTTCTTCCCATTGGTGTCATTTTTACCACTAGTATTACTAGCGGTAGTACTAGAATTGTTCAATGCATTGGTTCTAGTAGTATTGTCAATAGACTCGACCTTGGCTTCTTTCATCCTGAGATTGTAAAAGAGAAGCCCATGCATGCGTATATATTGAGTATAAGTTAAAAGGTTTATGCATGAGCAATTGTTGCAATTGTGATAGGTATCTAGTGTTGCAATTTAATTTTTTTTATCTTGATTTGTGGTTTGTTATTGTGCTTGTTTTTCTTCATGAGCTTAGCTTCTTCTTAATCCTAAAATAGAAGCCCATGCATATCGATCTGTAATTTAGTGCAATGTGTAAAGATTTATGCATGAGTGGTTACAATTGTGATGGATAGTGGTGATGCACCATAACTTAGTCCAAATACGAATACGTCTTTTTTTCTTTTCCTTTTTTTTACCTTGATTTGTGCTTTTTCATTTTAATTTGTTTGTTTTCCTTCCATGAGCTTAAGATTGCAAAGAGAAGCCCATGCATATGACTTGGTGCAATGTAAACATTTATGCATGATGGTTCTGCAAGTGGTGATAGGTGTAGCGACTCTCTCTCTCTCTCTCTCCTCCCTCTCTCTCCTCTCTCTTCTCTCTCTCCTAGTTGGTTTGGGCGGGGGGGGGAGTGTCACTCTGGTGGGATGGGAAGGGCTGGGACTGGGCATGGGAGACTGGTGCAATGGGTGATGGCAGATATGTCATGATAATGGCGGTGGTGGAAGCAGACATGGCATCATAAGATCAGCTCAATGTTGAAATATGCCACAAAAAGAATTACCAATGAAGGCTGGATTGTGTTGTTTTACATAGGGACGAGAAAAAAATTGAACTATATATATATTATAGTAATATAGATATTATATATATATATATATATATATATATATATATATATATATATATATATATATATATAATATATATATAATATATATATATATTATTAATATATATATTATAATATATATATTATAATATATAATTATGATATATATGCTGCTAACGAAAAGAGAGGAAATACTTTGGGTTGGTTTTTCTTCAATTACTAACCTTTCATTGTTATGCACTTGGGTATCCAATGCCTTCTTATGTGATGATGAAGATGGAGCATCTTTTTCTTCCTTGGAAACCTTGAGGATAAAAGATAAAAGAAAGAAAAAGAAAAAGAACAGACATGAAATCTACATCTAGGATCTTTAATTAGCAACGATATTGCACCCCCTTGGCGAAATTAAACAAGAAGGAAGAGCTTAGATCTATCTGCTACTGCTCAAACATAAAGAGTAAAAGGCACAATAAATAATAAATAGATAAATAATCCAAGCAGAACAGAGGTGCGTACTTGTTTAAGACGCGGATCTAATTGAAGGGCAACACTCGGATCCCCATTTGGGTGCAAACCTCTCTCATCACTTCTATCTGGTGGTTGAATTTGGAGAGAGAACGTCGGGGTTTGAGAGAGAGAAAGAGGAAGTTGGGTCCTCCTCCTGATCCTCATAGATGAGGAGATGAAGAGGAGATGAGGAGTACTGATTGATGATGGATGGATGTAGAAGAGTGCAAGCTGATCCCTCTCT